CCACGGAGGTCAAAATCGTTCCTGATTGAGAACCACTGATCTAAGAGGTCTTTTTTTAGAGCAGCAGTTCTCAAACTTTTTGGTCAGAGAACTCCTCAACACTTAAAATGTATTCAGGATCCAAGGACGGGCGCAGTGGCTTATGCCTATATTCCCAGCACTTTGGGAGGCCAAGGCGGGCGGATCACAAAGTCAGGAGTTTGAGACCAGCCTGGCCAACATAGTGAAACCCCGTCTCTACTAAAAAAAAATACAAAATGTTAGCTGGGCGTGGTGGTGGGCGCCTGTAATTCCAGCTACTTGGGAGGCTGAGGCAGGAGAATAGCTTGAACCCAGGAGGCAGAGGTTGCAGTGAGCCGAGATTGCGCCACTGCACTCCAGTCCAGGCAACAGAGTGAGACTCTCTCTGTCTCGAAAGAAAAAAAAAATGTATTCAGGATCCCAAAGAATTTCTGTTTATGTGGAATATAGCTATCAATATTTACCATATTAAAAATTAAAACTGAGAACAATTACATATTTGATTCACTTAAAAATAAGAATAAGCTTGCTATATGTTAACATAATGAAATGTTTCATGTAACTGTATTTAATACTATATACATACTCATGTTTGCCCATTTAAAATACATACCCAGATATATAACTGTGTGTATTTATATATGTATATATAATATTTATATGGATAATTATAAAATAACTGTTTTCCAAAACAAAAAATTTATTGAGAGGAATTTTATATTTTTGCAAAATAATGTCTGGCATGATAGAAGATAACTAGATTCTCATATCTGCTTCTTTATTCAATCTGCTGTGAAATCATATATTGTATAGCCTCTGGAAAATTTTGTTGTGTATTCATGAGAGAATGGAAGTGAAAAAAGCAAATAATGTTTAATGTTATTATGAAAATAACTTTAACCTTGCCAATTTTCCACAACGGTCTCCACATTTTGATAACGATTTAAATAATAATAAATAATTTAAAAAATGGACCAAACATGAGTTTCTAACTTACTTTCTAACATTGAGCCAATCAGGAGTTTTGTGGGCAGAGTTTTATTTTGGGATTTTTCTGAAGGAAGAATGCACCATGTGACACCATTAATTATGTGGTGCAGGCAAGTCACTTTCCTTTTCCTCTCTGCGTTTCCATGTTTCTTTTACGTATAGGACCTGGAGCTATGGAAAGAAAACTTGAAGATCTATTTTAGCCCTGAAAGTTTAATTCTGCGCTCTCATTAGGGAAGACGAGATTGTAGAAAACAGGGGTCTATGAAACATTATGTTAACTTAATACTTTTCTCTCTCAGCTGTTCTGTAGGAAGTTATACAATCAATTTTCGGGAAATGAGTTGTGATTTCATTCCTATCCGACGCCTTTCCACTCCTTCTTCTGTCACCAAGCCAGCATCTGTCTTCACCACCAAATGGATTTGGTATTGGAAGAATGAATCTGCCACATGGATTCCGTATGGAGAAGAGGTGAGCACTGTTCCTCTTTGTAGAGGGCTCTTGTTTAAACTTGTCAACTTAAAAAGAACACTATTGGCTGGGCGCGGTGGCTCACGCCTGTAATCCCAGCACTTTGGGAGGCCAAGGCAGGCGAATCATCTGAGGTCAGGAGTTTGAGACCAGCCTGGCCAACATGGTGAAACCCCATCTCTATTAAAAATACAAAAATTAGCCGGGCGTGGTGGCATGTGCCTATAATCCTGGCTACTCCAGAGGCTGAGGCAGGAGAATCTCCTGAACCCGGGAGGTGGAGGTTGTAGTGAGCTGAGATTGCACCACTGCATTCCAGCCTGGGGGATGGAGTGAGACTCTGTCTCCAAAATAAATGAATAAATAAATAAAATAAAAAGAACACTATTAATAAAATGTTTGACGCCTATGTGGTTACCCATGGAGTGTGGGAGAGGAAGTGGTATTTTTTTACTTTGTACACAGCTATATTCAGTATTTTTTCAGCAAGTATGCACTCCAGTTGCAGTCATACATTAAAGTATATATTAATTTTAATTTTAATTTTAATTTTAATTTTAATTTTTTTTTGAGATGGAGTTTCACTCTTGTCACCCATGCTGGAGTGCAATGGC